GCTCTACAAGGTCTTGTCTGAGACTGACGTATAAAATGTCTTATCACTTCTTCTATAAGATTCACACTATTATTAGTTAGAATTTTATGTAATATTTCATAGTTGATATAGATCTTGTTATATAAGAACTTTATTACTATCTTTTTAATCATCTCTGAAACTCCTTTTATAACTGATCAGTCAGTAGTATAGTTAATAGCAGTGATTATTCAATAATTTTCATTTAATATTCACAGTAATATGTCTATAAGATTCACTTCTTATTACTTAAACAGCTGTATTTTACTTTTTATCTGATATTATACTTTCACATATTCTAATTCTTTCTTTGATTCTTTCACAACCTGATAATTCAGACACTTATAAGTGTATGTCTGAATATTCTCAGTTATACTTAGTTAGTACACTTTTGATTTAAGTATATCTATGAGTTCAGAGCTTTCTAAGTGATTAAATTTCTTATATATACAAGCTACTAAGTTACATCTAAATAAATGTTTCAGATAGAGAGTTTCTGCATATTCTAAATTATAATAAAGTACAATATTATTTTTCAATTTTCTTAACTTGAAGTTCAGAAGCATCTCTTCTACTATCTTTGTAAGATACTTATTATCTGATACTTTATTATTCTTTAAGCAAGAGATTATTTGTAAGAATAAGTGCTTACAGATAATTATTCAGATGTTTACAGCTTGACATAATATATACTGATAACTACTAGAAGTATTTATAATAGAAAGATAAAATATAAAAGTTAAATATATAATAGTATTCAAGATAAGTTATAAATAGTATTCATGAACTTCAGTCTATATAGTTGTATATAGTTATGAGCTGCTAACTCTATTAATTATATAAGAGATAGAAATAGAGATAAAGAATCTGTAAGAAGCAGAATTTCTTATATATCTCTTTCTCTCTAAGACTTCATCTGTGAAGTCTTTCACTGAGTAATTTCATAGAATCAGGCTCAGTACTGCAGTGATACTCACTAAAAACTCTTCATATATATAAAAATCTCAGTGAGGAAAAATCTCTTATTATTATAAAGAGAAAAGAGTCTGTCACTCAGTTTCTTATTTCATGAGATTCTTTATAATCTGCAGATCTTTCTCTAGCTGTCATACAGATTCATCTCACATCTTTCATACAGAAGAGTTTCAGTTGACTTCTAATCATTTTCATGAGATTTTTATGTAACTGTCACACAGATTCATCTCACAGGTGAATCACTTTCTGTGAGATCACTCTTATTAAAGAGAAGTATTTATGAGTTGATCTTTCACTCATTCTCACAAATCATCATTCTTTGACACTGTAGAGTTGTAAGCAATTTTCCATTCTTTCATCAACTCTGTAGAATTGTAGAATCAAGATGTCTGCAGCCTGCAATCACTCTTTGTAGTTATATAGAAAGATTCATCTCCCCCTCTCTTGGTGGCTCCCTGCCAAGTTCAATTACACCAGGTCTTATCAGTGACTTAATGGTGTGGATGAGCTAGAAAAATACCAACCTGCCCGTTATCATCTAATCCTTATTAGAGATGTTCTTGCAGACCGGCATCAAGCTGCTGATAAACTGCATTATGGGACCATGCGGCTTGCTTTGACAAGCAACGTTCCACCTAGGATTCCATCAAAATCAGTACAAGATGCAGATGCATCTTCTCGCGAGATTTAAATTCAACATTTCGTTGTCCATTCTCTATCTGGCCATCTAGGCCGCTCAATGATGCCTATAACGGAAGATCAATTCGACCTTCATGCTCTAACAGGATCCTTGGGATTCTGTATGATACCATCCGCTTCTTCAGTATGACCAATGCTAAATTCCGCTTCCCTCTTACAGTTGAGACTACGCATGTTGTGATCGCAAAGCCAATACTTGCTAAGATATAGACATCCATCTTGTCCTCTCTTTTGTCTGCCACCTACCTCTGACCAACTCATTACTAACTAATTCTACAATAAGCTCAATGAACTGTACATGGATAAGGTTATGCTCGTTGATATAAAGCCTCCTGAAAATGCCCTAGACATTATGTCATCTTGTGACATAGCTTCTGCATGATGCAGCTTCTGCTCTGAAACTCTTATGACACTTCACGCGATGCTTGTTCTCCGTCGCAACAAAGGAGTCGCTGATGGTTTCTACGTGGACGGTGAAGTGGGGGGGTATCAATTTAGACAAAGTTCAGAAATTATGATCAAAAAGGACAGACGCCAACTTGTAACAAGGCAATCCGGTGCTAAGCCTTGGTAGACTAGCAGATCCAAAGCTCTCAGGATCCCTGGGTGACTTGGATACTTATCAATTTCCCACTTGCATGTACAGTACCTTTCAGTTTTGCCGAGGAAAAATATCCAGTATACAGTTCAGTTCCAATGCAGTCAGAAATCCCGTTAGAAAGTGAGCCTGTCCAGGCTCCATATAATATTAATATCTCGGACCGTGGGCACGGGAACTAACGCATAGAAGTATTGTGACAGAAAGTCCAGCCGAAAGGAGGATATCAGACTGGAATATATGCCCTTCATTCAATATTGCAAAGCGCTCTAATATCTCTAGACGTATGTAAGAACACCAAGTTTCATCCCTAATAAGTTATCATTTTATATATTACGCATTTTGAAAATCCAATCGCCACCTAATGATATGTAGCACAAACACAAATGCCCACTAATTGGACATAGACAGTAAGGGTCTATATTTAAACCCCAAAGCGTTGTCGGGAATTGAAAAAAAAAAAAAAAAAACCAGACCGGGCAGGGGTATTATAAAATATTCAAGCATGTCTATATTTAAATAAACCCTCCGTCTCTTTCTAACGACTCATCTGGCCCATCATAATAAGAATGGAGAATAAAAGGAAAATATTATTCGTCCCCATAGCCTTCTCACAGCCAGCGTAAGTAGGTTAAGGAATCCAAGCCACACTCCCAGCATTAAGTGGGTTCAACACAAAAGAGTCGACCCGGGGCCTGTTCTTTCCCCAGTGAAATGCTTATCATTCTTCCGTCCTCCTCCGGAGCCTGATAGGTTTCTCCCCGAGACTAAGACTTTCAAACTCCAATATCGGGCCGGCGACATGACTCAATGGACACTAAGCTCGGCATGGGGGCCACGAGCTATGGACATAACCAGCCCACATGGAGATAATGAATGCGCTGCATTCCGCCCGTGCCAAGTTATAGTGGTAGTCAATACCAACAGGCGAGGTGAGGGTAGAAACTTCCAGCGAGCCTGCGCTATAGTATTAGGTTTAACGAGCGAGTAGGTCAAGATAGTGATGTATAAGCACATAATAGGAAAAAGGAGAGAAAGAGGGAAATGCAGAGATCGTAACACTACTATTACAGATTAAATGAGTGGGAGAAATAAACAGGAACCAATCAAAGAACCAAGCAGAAGATAGATTGTAGAAAAGTAAATGAGAACAAGTCCGTAGAACAAAAGCTTTTCAGGTGCTGCTTTTCCTTTCCTGCTTTTCAAACATCCCACATCTCATTTTGTTATACACATCGTTGACTCGTTGCGTTCATCCAATTACTGAATAGCGGGGAAAGACAGATAGGAGGAGTTGCTATCGTCCTCGGCCAGCAAGGAGATATTGTAAGTGGTTTTGCAGCCAAGCTCCTTCTCTCGTCCCACCAATTCCATCTCTCCTGTGTTTCTATATGTTTTTATGGTTTGGAAAGCAAGCCAAAAGAAAGAGACAAAATCAAATCGAGTTAAATCATAGGAGATAGACAATGACAGAAATCAAGCTAGGCTAAAAAGCAGAAACTAAGGACGAGATATACCGCGGCTCTCCCGGAGCACGCTATGCGTTGAGAGCTAGGAAAAAACAAAGAGAAAAGAAAAATAACTGTAGAAACGAGATTTATGTAGAAACGAGATTTATGAAGAAGTCACCGGAATATATCGTGACGCGTGAGGATTAGCAGTCGAGCCAGTCGACCGAATGGCGGCGAGAATCGTTGATCATGGTATCGAATTTCGTTCAATTTCGAAGTAGGAAGGGAGAAGTAGAGTGATGAGATACCAACAGTGGGCGAAGTTGGCGGAGTAGGTAGAGAAGGAACAGCCTGTGTTCCTGTAAAAGTTCATATCAAGAATAGGACCCAGAATGACTTCCATTCGACATTGCAGAAGAGCGGAGGTTGATCATAGTGTTAGGCTAGAGCTGTTGAAAGCGATAGCGCACAGCGCAGATCACTCAAGTCATCTCTAGCAAGTTTCCCAGCTGGGTGAAGATACCTGATATCCCAACAGGTAACGTAGGGGGGGTTATCGAGGCCCGTTCCGCCCCAAACTTGCTCTCTCTCTCTCCACGCCGACTTCCAATCTCCCACTTGCCCGAATATTGCTTCAGTCGGGAGAAGCCGGGTTCTAAAGATATGGGCCTTTGCAGCTAGAGTAGCCAGAATCAGGACAATTCATGGTAGGTTTTGGGTAGGTGTTGGACTCCGTTCCCCGCGCCGAATGGACTGTGCACGCGTAGCCAACAAGGACTGTCTTCTCTTGTACTACATGGCCGCGTTGACCATATGCCTCGCACGGGTCTACCGCATGACGGTGATAGAGGCAGCGACAGACGGAGTACCTTTCAACAACTTGGTAGCACATCTTGCTAAAAGTCTGTTCGCTTCTCTTGTCGTTTGTCAACTGGGAGGTCCGGAATAAACTGGGGGGATGTTGCGATATGCAGGCAAAAGCGGGATTGATGGAGCTTTTGCGATACAGCGGGAACAATTCAACGGTTAAGCTCTCGACAGCTAAGAGATGGAAATGCGGCAGAGTACTAGATCTGTGGAAAGTGGCGTAGTTGCAGGTGCAGATGCTCCAAAGGGGATGAAAAACAGCGCCAAATAAACAAGACAGGTATAATGGCAAGAAAACGACAAAAGAAATTAAAGAGTAGAGCGATATTTTATTGAAATGAATAAGTGGGTATAAATGGGGATTGAAATGAGAAAAATGATGTGTTAGAGGTGACAAACAGCATCATATATAACCAATTGAAAGTATACACCCAAGGCATCTATTAGTCGGGTGGAAGCCTAGGACAAGGAGAGAATGAGTCGTAATCAGGTCTAGAGTGGGAAAAAGGGGACAAAACCATCTAGGCAATCTTCCAAGGCTTGGAATTCGTGGACCGATCCTGCATCATGCTCCGCCTGAGGGGTTGAAAATTACCACAGGAGAGTGGATGGGAAACGGTCGACTTGGCCGCCGGCAACTGATTGATCCTCGATGTGCGGGTACAGAGCAACGTCCCGCTAGCCGTCACCTGCATAGCCAAACGGATCGCGGACATGCCCGAAAATAAGTGCTCAGGCCAAGCCAGTTCATCTTGAAATGGTGGAATGCTGTTACAATGAGGGGCCACATTTCAGCCAAATCCTCAGGCAGGACTTTCAGCGGATGCCTTTGTTAGCATCGTTGGCTCGTTGGTTACCCACGATATGGAAGTGTGGCTGTTCCCGCTTCGTTTTACTGCTAGCGATCTGTAACAAACGTGGTGCGCTTGCCAAGAAACCATTCGCACCAACCAAGCAGGAAGCAGGAAGTACTAAAGCGCATATAATAATCATCCGATATGGTTCTACCAAGGCGGTCCGCAGAGATTCGGGCACTACCCCTACCCGTGGGGCGAATTGGGAGGATGAGGCTGGAAGGTCAAACCAAAGCGCCCTCGATATGGCCATGACAGACGCTTGCCGGGGGGGCACCCTTGGCTTCTTAGCCCGACTAGTGATTGGTAGTGTCATCCCGCTTCCCTGGAAATAGTAACGGACGGGGCACAACGCTGGCCTGTTACGAGTCAGCATATCGCTAGTAGTTAGCTAATTGAGGCTGGTGTCAGACTGACTTAGCCTAGGGATCGTGAGCATGGAGCAAGAATAGCTACATGATATACAGTTTTGCAGCATTAAACAGTTCTGTCTTCGGTTGTTTGTCTGCTAACCTAGTTATGACCATGTTGTGTGTATTAAATATTAGTCGAGGTTCTCTACATAGATAGAGTGGGACACGTGACTGGAGTAGCCGCCGGGGAGCTAACCAACATTGCTTTAAGTGTTCTCAGCCAGTGTCACACACCTATCTGCTCACTGCCAATTGCTTCAAAAACACAATAATAATTAATTACAAAAGCTGGCATCTAGTTTCCTCGTAGGGACTAGACCCATATGTGCAAAAATACATGCAAAACATGCAAGGAGAACGTTCTGTCCTTTCTGTATTGTATTACCCCCCCCCCTTTCTTCAGTTGTCTTGACACTGCGGGGTCTCATTCTCATAGTCAGTTCTATTGTATAGGCACTGTGGCCTAGCATCATGATTATGATTATTTCTCTCGCAGTATATTGTGGGGGCTCTCTCCCTTACTGGAGGCAAAAAGGATTCTCTCACAATGATGATATTGCCGGGTTCTCTCCGTCTAGGAGACAAAAGTATTCTCTCATGATATTCAAATTCCAGATCCCATGGCAGTATTTCCATCATTTTGGCATCGATATTGGTGATTATGGTTATACTGTTCTCCCCATTCTAGAAATTCTTCGTGACGTAATTCAAAAGCAGGCAGAGTAGTATATCTTTGCAAAGATCAAGGAAGTCATCTTTGCATTCTAAGGCTTGATATAGAGGTTGGAAAGGATCTCATCACAGTTGATGGATTTCGTACTGACAGGTATTTGATTTATCTTGAAGATATTGAGTATTTGAACAAGAGAAGAGGTTCTTTAATGAAAGAAGTTGTTATTGAAGAGCTTATTACAAGATTAAAACACTTCATAGCTAACCTGTAGTATTGTGTGTATTATATCAATACAGAATGTGGGACACGTGACTGCAGTAGCCGGAGCAACTAAGCTGGGGCCATTCCTGCATGGCCTGGATTCCAGAACTGATGACTGGATGAAAAAGCTTCGCATGCTCTTTTTCTTGTGGCTCTATCGAGTCAAATTATACAGAAGAAATCCCTATTGATACGTCAAGAGTCCAGTTTGGGAAAATTGCAAGGGCCATATTATTCCACCCAAGGGCAGGAGTTTGCTTTTAATCTACGGGTTGAATCAAAAAATGACCACTGTAGACAAGCAAAAATCACTTGACAGCCATGTATCTGACAGATTTTGTTTCCGTCCGTTCACTCAATCTAGTAGAAATACTTAGCGAGACCCCACGACCAAAGCAGAGAAGCCGGAGAAACTGGAATGCATTTTCCATTATTTTCATATAGAAACAGAATAAAATTATACAAAATAACCTCGGTAGAGAAAACCGACGGACCCATACATCCCCGCCGTCGGCGGAGCTGTGCGCTGAAGCCTCAAGATCTCCATTTAACTAACAGACGTTAACCTGACAGAATGAAGGGGTGGCAAACATACACCTCCCTCTAGCAATGCAGATTATCGTGAAATGCTCGGAATATTCTGGGGGCTGATTTGAGCAACCCTGTATATCCTGCTTGTCATTCGATTCCCATCATTAATATTAGCTCCGCAAGGAAGTCACTCCGCATCAGGGACAGGGGACAAGGCACAAAACAGCTTTGGAGAGAAATGAAATAGTAAAGAAGACTGGTAACGTCTGGATCCTCCTCCATGCAAGTGGGATCACCACTATGTACTCCCTCATGCAGTTTGCCACTTCAAGATTACGACAGGAGGAGCAGCTAGCGTAGCACTCGATCTTCCTCCGCCGGAAGGAGTCAGGTGGTGTATTTGTGATACAAGGATATGTTGAGGTATGCGATAGAGAATTCTCCTGAAAGGGAAGGCACTTCAGCCCTACAAATCCAGTCGCACAAGATGTCTGTTCGCATCACGCATCACGCATCAGCGCGCTATTTCAGGAATTGGCCCTAGCTGTAGCTTTAGAATCTGCGGTTGAAACAAGGTTTTGCTGATTGGCTGGTTTGGCGAGCGAAAGCGTGGCTCCAGGGTTTGGTCAGCCCTACGCCTTGGCAGGGACCCACCTAAGTCTAATTTAGACTAGCGTACCGTACCACCACACCTGCAGCCACATCAATCAACTGCGAATCTAGCCCTGCACAGCCACCTCGGATTTGGGTGGTTGATCTAGCGGTAAGATGGAGGGATTTCTCGAGCAGAGGGGGCCTGTGTTTCGAACCTCTAGGGGCAGTATGATATGGTAAATGATGGCCGCTTCTATCTTGAATTACGGACATCTGCCGCTTACTTTTGTGGCCATTTCAAGTGTAACGTTGAGGGACTGCTGCTCCTGACGAACAAGAGTTCGGATTGAACATGAATAAAGTCGGTTACAACGTTCACACTGTCAGTCTTGTTATTTTGCGGGGAGGGGTGCATGAAATGTACGGTAAGGTTTTCGGTATCCGGGTACTCCGTACTTCGAAAAAACCATCCGCCTAAACGGAGGACTTTTTGGAAATATACAAGTGGAAGAACAAGATGCAAAAACATTTTAGAGCCAAAATCTATGGCTCCAACGAGCACCTCACAGTTAATGGGCCAGATTACTCCGAAACGGCGTTGTTCTGGCCATCCAATATTTCCTTGTACCCTCGATGTTTGGAGATCAGCTACAAACAGTATTCCGAGTAGTCGTTGACCGCTCTATCGCGGGGATGGATACCACATTGCCCAACCTTAATTCAGTCCGGTCCCTGTCAAGCATCATTCGTAATCATTCTTCAATCGTCAGCGTTGACTCATCAATCATACAGAAGAAGCTGATACCCTGAATAATCGTGTTAAACTCATCAATAGCAATCTCGGAGCATACCTCGGGCAATCTAGATTGCGTTACGTGCGCATTGTCTGCGTTGACATGAACAATAACCTTGGTAGCGTTGGTCAGTGCTTGATTGAAGTCTGCCTTGCATCCAGCTCCAGAGTGGCAAAAGATTAGTGTCCCAAAATAACGCCGACAAGGGGGAAGGCTCACGTCTCAAAAAGGCAATTATGACAAGACCTTGAGAGTTAGTAACGTCTATACAGCTTACATTTACCAGGAATAGAGCGTTCAAGCTAGTAAATTTCCCAAGGTGGACTTGCCGAGATTCGGGATTCTCTAATTAGGATGATATTGATTACTGAAAGAGGGTTTTACGAAGGATTCCATCAATAGCACCATGCAGAGGCCGCCCAATCAATTTCTTACCACCAACTTTCTTTCCCAGTGCTGGAATGTTGGATACTTGGGGACGCCCATTATTGGACACTGTCAGCTTATTACTCTCTCCTTAATTAGCCTATCATTCAGCATAAGTGCCGTGCTAAGTTGCTTTGAAAAGTTGAAGTTCATTGGCACACAGGGGTGGGTGAGAAATTATTGAACTAACAGACGATACAACATTGAGCGGAAGGAGGGAAATGATAACTATCTAACATAGATATCTATTTAGATGAGAGATTGTAATCGGCTAAAGTACGAGCTGGGATATTCCTCAAAACCAAAGTTTGATCAAAACACAACCATAGGAACAGTTAGCTACCTTATGTTCTCCTTACTTTACTCATTTGAAATCTCTCAGCGAAGAGATATCACTAACGATTGCCTTGACACAGATACGTGTGAAAATTGGACCACTATTCTCACTGTGATCCACATATCCGTTTGAACTCTTCCTCAGTGTGATTCCACACCTCCTCAATCATCCCCTTATCGCGTAGTTCAGCCAACAGCTTCTTCACATCAGGAGATCCAGTCTCACAATCTGACCCTACGGAGTAGACGCCGCCCCCGATTGTCCCCGTGGTACTAATAGACATATCAGTTCCATCTGGAAGCGGCACAGAGGCAGAATTGCCTTGCCTTGCCGGGAACCGTGAGCTTGTGGCCAGGTACAAATGCCGCTCGCCACTCTCTTCGATAGGCACCACAGAAACCTCGAATGGAGACTGTTTTCCAGGCTGGCCGTGCATATGCCTAAAAATTGGAGTGTCCACTAAACCTAGATGGCCGTGGATAAAACTAACATCGGGGGTCATCCTGGCTATGGCCTCAAGGCCAAGGGTTACCGGTGAGGCGAGATGTCCACGAAGTTCTTTGAGCGGGAGTCCGAAAGCGGGGAAATCCGTTGAGTCCAAAAGTCCCTCGCGCGTACCCCCTGCCACAGTAACGACGCGGCGGAGGGACGAGCCATTGCGACAGAGGCAGCATGTTGGTGATGAAATGCATACGGGAGTAATAGATTAATGCCGGCAGCGCGTGAATTTTCTCACAGGTTTCTAGCGTTCCCGTTAGCTGAGTTGCTGGATGATGCTACATGGCTAGTACCTACCACTGCGATCCAGGAGTGGTACTCCCGCGCTGAGAACCAACATGTTCAGTGCGCTCTCCTTTCTTTGACTTGATTTGCTCGCACACGTTGTCGACGACGCGGATCAAGCGGATGTCGGCCTGGATAAAGATGTATTCTCCCTCCAGGTTCAGTGCCTTACACTCTGCGATGATGCGGTCTGCAGCATCTTGAGAGCGGCCGACAAAGTACGCTCGCGATTGCTTTGCATACTGGGCAAAAGCCGTCAGAGTGCTTTCGCCGATTCCGTTGGTTGCTCCCACAAAAACCGCCACCAGCCTAGGCGGGAGTGTGGAAGGAATCAGAGAATTGAAGGATTGGATTTCTGCTGACAGCGGAGACGCAATGACATGAGCTTCACATTGCCTCTGCATGAAGAAAGGCTCCCCTAATTATAAATTGGAAAGGGTTACATGGTGAATGTTGTATTGTCAGTATTATTAATGAAAATATTTAGTTTAATGCAGATAACGCCGAATGGAAGGTAAAGCTCAATATGAACATGGCTTGAAAGAAAATAGGCCCAGCTTGAACACCACGTTCAGTGTTTATGGGTTGGGGATCAAGATTAGACGAGTATTAGGGGTACCTAAGAGCAAAGGCCTAAATTGTAGGATAGTCGAAGGTTGTATTGATAGAGCTATCTACAAAGAGCTGAATATAGTGTGTTGGAGGATAACGTTCATCTGTAATCTATCTATTACACGACCGGATTATGGTTGTTCCACCATTTCAATCGGCGACACGGTCGCTGAGCTGTAAATCATAGTATAATGATGAATGAATGATGAAATTATCATAAATAAGTTATAAACTGAAAAAATCAATTATCATATTAATGATATCACTGAATCCAATCTATATAATTACTAATTCTAAAAACTGTCTCATTCACTGATATTATTCTCTATTGAAAATCATAGATACTTCTATCTAAATTCTTCTGAATTAACTGAATCAAGTTTCTCTTATAGTTTTCATTTCTAGTCATGTTGCTCTCATTGATCATATCACTGAACTTATAAATTGAAATTTACAGATTAGTCATGATCTGAAAGACACTGTCATCAGTTATCTAATATTTAAGAGTTAGAATTTCAGAGTGATTAGATACTAAGTATTTAAAAGTTTATATAATTATTAATCTCTGAATAAATCTGAGAATTATTTCATCAACTCTAACTTACTATTTCAGTGATTATTTTATAAGTTCAAGAACTCAGAACACTTATCAGAGTCAGAAGATTAAAGAAGAAGAAGAGAAAAGAATTAATAATAGTAATAAAGAGATTAGTGAGAATTGCAGAGAGAGAAAGAGAATTATTACTATTAGTAGATTTCTTATTACTACTGCTCTTATTAACTGTATTACTGAGAAGTTTAACAATTATTTTAAATCAGTTTATTATTTCATATATTTTAATGAAAATATGCTGTGCTTTCTCTCTAATACTGTTAATCAAGTTTGTAAGATTCTTTATTATCACTTTTTAACTGTTATAATAATTATTAATTAATCTCAAGATCTTTTATTAAATAGTAAGCTTTATATTTTTAATATTTAATTTTATCTTTTTAATGATAATTTTCTTCTTCTTCAGAGTAATTTTCTTCTTTTCAATCTTTAATTTAACTCTTTCAATATTCAACTTAATCTTCTTAATTTCAAGTTTGACTTTTTTAATAAGACTGATAGATGTATTTAAGACTTTTAATATAATAGTTAATGTAATCAATCACTTAACACCTGCTTATACTCAATGCCTGTCATTTCACTATTATAATAATAAAATATTTTCAATGATATCTCAACAACACAATTAGATTTTAAAGTGATATATTATATAATGAAAATATATATAGAAAATTACATATAAAAATATACAGCTAATTCTGTAGATGTGTATTAAGCTTAATAACTCACCTGAAATATCAAATCTTGAATGAAGACAGATTCAATGAGTAAGCAGTTATTAAATCAGTAGAGATTATAATATTATCAGATTTCTTCAGTAGTGAATCTGTGAGTATTCTGACAGAGTTTTGAAAACATAATTTAATCACTCTTTATAAAGTTAAGAGTTTACTTTTCTGATTAGAAAGAGGATTTTTAAATTCTTCAATCTTTTTCTTATTTAACTGTGATTACTGCTGTACAGCAGCTTGTTCTTTCTTCTCTTTTTACTCTTAAGTCTTTCTTACATCTCTAAGCTTCTTTTCAATCTGCTATTGAGTAGCTCTTGTAGTCTTATTCATATCTTTTTACTGCTTTACTATCTGATAAGCTGTCTCTCACTTCATTCTCTTCTTCATGATATCTGTCTTCTTCTATTTCTTAAGAATAGTATATTACAACTTAGTATTCTTCTTATAAGTCTGCTTATTCTTTTTAACAGCTTGGGAAGTTATCATTTTCTTATATATAATCTGTATCTTTACTGATGAAAAGAACTGTGTTAATAATAAATTCAAAGAATCTAGTAATCTTATTACTCTATTATACTTGTAATATCTTCTCTCTTAATTAAGAGCTTACTGTAGCTGTCTATTCTCTATTAGAAGAACCTCTTTATCAAGAGTAAGATTTTTTCTCATACAGATTACTTAGTTGAGATTACTAGATATTTAATACTATTACTGTTAAACTTACTTCATCAATTTCTGTATATTAATAATAGAAGTAGAGATTCTTAATTAATATTATATATCTGAGAAAGTGTAAGACTGTATTATAAGCTTTTTAAGAACTCATTCTGAATTAAATAAATATAAATCAGTAGTAGTAAATGCAGATATAATATTTAAAGATGTAACTATCTTCTTTTATACAGTATTAAATAGCTGTTAAAAAGTCCTCTTTATAGTATGTATAAATCTCATTTCAGTTCTCATCTATTTATTTAGTTGATTAAAGTATGATTTACTTAATAATTCAAATATTTCAATATTTAGTGACTGTAGTCAGTGAGTAGAATAAGAAGAAAAGATAGTAAGTAGAATTTAATAACAATCTATATAATTGATGAATACTATATTAATATGAGAAAAGTAATTATCTAATATAAGAAGTCTATATTCATATTCTGCTTTCTTTTTTATAAGAGGTTCAAAGATCTTCTTTAATCATATTAATTTATATTCATTATTACTTAATTCATTTTCTGAAGTAGTAAAGTAGATCTGATTCTTTTCACTATTAAAGTTCTTCAGTCAAGTATCTTGCATATCTCTTAATTCTTCTTAATATATAAAAGTAGATGAGACTCATAAGAGTAAAGTTTTATCTGTATAAATTAAGATAAGTAGTGTTATGAATTCTTAACTACTATTCTGACTAATATCTATTATATAATCTGATTTGAGTGAAGTAATTAATATAATACATTTAAAAGTGTGAATAAGTGTTAATAGAAATTCTTTCTTATTAAAGTTATAAATATTTACAGATTCAACATTATATTGAGTGATTTTTACCTCTAGTTATAAATTAATTAGCAAGAAGTAAAAAATCAGTAGAAGAAAGAAATCAGTAGAAGAAAGAAATCTATTATAAGATTAAAATAATACTTGAAATATATTGAATTATCTGCAATCTTATATTTTTAGTTGATATTTTAAAAATAGAGTAACTTGATTATATTCTTATAATGCTGATAGAATTGTAACAGTCAGTTAATTCTAATAGATGCTTTCAGAATCTCAACAATGAGATTATGTATGAGGAGTTGAGATATGCAAGGAAAACCACAATCTATTAATTAATTGATATGAAAAAGAAGTCATTCTTCTTGTGAATCTGTGAGATTTTTACAGTGAATAGAGCTTACTTTCTTCCTTGATATTTGAACATCTCTATAACACTGTGATAATATATATCAACTGATTAAATATTTTTTAGCAGTCTCAGTGTAATTAGAAATCAATTGTGTGTTCAAATCATCAATTGCTGCTTGTATAACTGCTTTGTGATGCATATTGAAAGTGTTTGAAGATGGATGAAAAAATGAAGATTGAGCGGGCGTTGAGTATACGCGGGCGTTGAGTGGTTGATTACGTTATACTCTTTATTTTTTGATTTTCTACTTTCTGTCAGCATGTCTTTGCTTTCTTAATTCACTTGAATAAATTCTTCACTATCTTCAGAATGGCTGACTTGACTGATTTCTTTATAACTGTCGGAATGACAAGGTAAAACTCATGAATTCTGTGACAGGCTGCGTCTGATCATTTATATAGACTATTTCATTACACTTCATAGATTTCACTAAAAGCTCCGATTCTCAGTCACTCTCAATCATGAATTCTCAGCTGAAAAACTCACAGAATTTCTATTCTTTTACTTCAGAATTTCTATTCTTCCGCCGCGAAGCTTCACTGCATACACATATAAATATTCACTTCGATCACTAATTCTCATACTTTCTTCTTTTTCCTTCTCTAACATTTTCCACTTTTATATTATAAGACCTATATATATTATACTGATCTATTCAGTGTAGACCTCTTACACTTGAAAAATATTCATCATCTTCTCATTAGAAATGATTACTCATTGAGAAGATATTTAAATACATAATAATATATAAGAAATAGAGAAATGAAAGATCAGTTAAGCAGACACTGAGTCTCTAGATACAAGCTGACTTATCAGTTACTCTGACTCTGTAACAAGATCTTATAAAGAGAAAAACATCTTATAAGAGAATATCAGTGAAAGACTTAAGAGTTCTGATATCTTAGATATATGAAATATTCATACAATTATACTTGTTCTGATTTTACAGATATCACATATTTAATAAGCAATATAGCTATATTAATCAATAATATGAAAGAACTCTTGAATATAAGTATAAATATAGTACTACAGTGACTCTGAGTAATATTAAAATTATAATAATAATAGATAGCTAATATACATGCAACTTAATAACATTAATATAAAGAAATTTAACAATTGTCTTAATAAGAAATCTTTACATAAATAATTTCAACACTGATTAAATTTGAGATAATATAAACACTGAAGAAATATCTAAATACTTCTACATATTTCAATACTTCTGATCTCACTCTCTATTCATCATGAAGATTGAAAATACTTGTGAAACTAAGTGTAGATTAAGATGTCATCAGTTTATTAACTAATCAAGAGTGATATATTAATGATCAATTAAAGAATTGTATAAGATAGAAGTTTTATTCATATATGAAGACATATGAATCAGTGTTATATATATCTGATAATATTATCAGACTTCTTAATATTCTGTTTAGAGATACTACTATACGGTAGAAAGTATTAAATTAGTTACAGAGTACTCAACAGAGAAATACTTCTCTTACTACATTTATTCCTGACTTTGATATCAAG